GGGGACTGCTAGGGCTAGAGTGGGGAGTCCACAGGCTGTGTTAAAAGCAGAAAGTAGGAAGGACCACCCAGGTAGAGAGAGCTGCAACAGGTGCAGAGTAGAGAGATCACAAAGACCAAATACGTCAGAATGACTCTGCATCCTTGCACTTTTTCTGTGAAGTTCCCTTTTCCTTATTGATTTCTATGAGTTCTTGATGTAATGGCTAGATATTAATTTACTAAGTATATTGCAAATGGGTTCTCCTGTCTCTTTTCTTTTTTTTTTTTTTTTAAAGATTTTATTTATTTATTTTTCCCCCAAAGCCCCAGTACATAGTTGTCTGTCATAGCTGCACATCCTTCTAGTTGCTGTATGTGGGATGCGGCCTCAGCATGGCTGGAGGAGTGGTGCCTCGGTGCGCACCCGGGATCCGAACCCGGGCCGCCGGCAGCGGAGAGCACGCACTTAACCGCTAAGCCACGGGGCTGGCCCCCCCTGTCTCTTTTCTTTTAACCTTATTTATTGTGTCCTTTTGCCAGACAAATTTCCTTGAACAACTTTTTCTGTACTATTTGCTTGTTTGCTTTTTATTTGGTACAGTTCATAAATCAAATGACATAAAATTAAAAAAAAAATTAGAATTAGAGAGATTTTTCAGTGGGACCTCTCCCTTCTACCCTTTTCCACCAGCCTTCTTGTCCTGTGTAGGTCACTATGTTAGGACATTTTTGTATATCCTTGCTTGATCTGTTTTTTTTCCCCTCTTAATTAACTTTTTATTTCAGAAGTTTTATGTTTACATAATTATTTCAAAGAAAATACAGAGAGTTCCCCTATACCTCATACATATATTTCCATATTATCAACATCTTACATAAGTATGGTACATTTGTTACAAAATAATGAACCAATATTGGTACATTATTATTAACCGAAGTTCATACTTTATTCAGATGTCCTCAGTTTCTCCATAATGTTCTTTTTCTGTTCTAGGATCTCATCCAGGATAACACATTACATTTACTATTCCTGTCTCAAGGCTCTTCTTGGTTGTGACAAGACTCAGAAAGTTTCTCAGACTTCTTTGTTTTTGATGCCCTTGACAGTTTTGGGATTACTAGTCAGGAATTTTGTATAGAATGTCTCTCAATGGAGATTAAAAAAAAATTGATTTATAATGCACATATCATAAAGTCCACCTTTTTAAAATTGCACAATTCAGTGTTTTTTGGTATATTCACAATGTTTTACAATCATCCCAACCATCACCTATCTAATTTTAGAACATTTCATCATCCTGTACAGAAACCCCATAACCTTTAGCAGTCACTGCCCATTCACCCCTCCCCCATTCCCTGACAATCACTAATCAGCTTTCTGTCTCTATGGATTTTCCTATTTTGAACGTTTCATACAAATGGACTCATACAAAATGTGGCGTTTTGTGTTTGGATTCTTTCGTTTAGCATTCAGGGTTCATCTATTTTACAGCTTTTGTGTTTGGATTCTTTCGTTTAGCATTCAGGGTTCATCGATTTTATAGCTTTTGTGTTTGGATTCTTTTGTTTAGCATTCAGGGTTCATCTATTTTATAGCTTGAATTAATATTTCATTCCTTTTTATGATCAAATGATATTCCATTGTATGGATGTGCCATACCACATAATATTTTGTTTATTGACATTGGGATAGACATTTGGGATGCTTCCACTTTTTGACTATTATAATAAGACTGCTATGAAAATTCATGTACAACTTTTTGTATAGATGTACGTTTTCACTTCTTTTGGGTTATATACTTACCAGTAAAATTGTGGGTGATAGGGTAACTTTCTGGTTAAATTTTTAGGTACTCCCAAACTCTTTTCCAAAGTGGCTGCACTATTTTACATTCCTATCAGCGATGTGTGAGGGTTCCAATTTCTCCATATCCTCAATAACACTTGTTATGGTCTTTTTGTTTATAGCCCTCCTAGAGAGTGTGAAGTGGCATCTCATTGAGTTATTCATTTGCATTTCCCTAATGACTAATGATGTTGAGCATCTTTTCATGTGCTGATTGGCCATTTGTTTACCATTTTTTGGTTAATCCTCTATTCAAATCCTTTGCCTGTTAAAAAAAATTTTTTTTCTTTCTATTGTTGAATTGTGAGACTTCCTGTATTTGCTATATCATTTGCAACTATTTTCTACCATTCTGCTGGTTATCTTTTCATTTTCTTAATAGTGTCCTTTGAAGCAAAACTTTTTATGTAATTGTGATGAAGTCCAATTTATTTTTTTTTCAGTTGCTTGTGCATTAGGTGTCATACCTAAGAAATCATTGCATAAGTCAAAGTCACACAGATTTACACCTATCTTTTCTTCTAAGAAATTTATGTTTTAAACTCTTACATGTATGTCTTTGATCTACTATGAGATAATTTTTGTATGTGATGTGATATAGGAGTTCTGATCACTTTTTGCAGATTCTCCAGCTATAGTTGTATAGAGAATAGTTGTAATCCAGACTTGATATCCTTTAAACTCATATTCCTGAGCGTTTGACTCAGGGATAAGTCTAGACTTTGGAAAAAATGGAGTGGTTGGGAGACACATCAAGGTCTAGTGGCACAGTCCTTATAGCAAAGTTTACTGGTGAAGTCTCCTTTTCTGTATATTTACTTCCCAACTGCAGGATATGCTCAATCAGGCTTATAAGCTAATAAAAATTATCCTCCTTAAGTAGATGAGTGAGCCAAAATGGTAGCTCTCTTTAGATTGTCTGTAGGGTGCAGGGAGCCCATTGTGCCTTCTCTGGCATCCAAAGCCAGCTTCTTAATGCAGTAGAGCAGCCAGGAAATTATGAGGAGAGTAGTCGGAGTTGTCAAAAAGAGCAGGCTAGAAAAGGTGGAAGATGGGTCAAGAAACTAGACAATCAAGTACATTAGAGTTGAAAACTAAGTATAACTTTGTTTTATCTTAATATTTATTTTTAAATTCTAAAAGCAATTAATGATCACTGCAAAAAGTATAAACATGGTAAAAAGTAAAAAACAAAACCAAAATAAAATACCCAAATTGTCACAACCCAGAGGAACCTAGAGAGATGACTACTGAACATAATACGTGTGATATCTTGCAACAGGAAAAGGATATTAGACAAAAAATGAGGAAATCTGAATAAGGTATGGACTTTAGTTAACAATAAAAAATATATACCCAATTTGCACTCCCCTGGGAAGGACCTTTTCCAGGTGGAAGTACCACAGTAATATTTGGTGCAGTTCTAAGAGCCAACACTTCTATAGAGCGTTTAGTCTGTATCAGACCCTATTCTAAATATGTATATTAACTCATTTAATTGTCAAATCATCATATAAGATAAGTACAATTCCCCTGTATTATACAGATTTGGAAAATAAGGCAGGGAAAGTTAGATAACTTGCCCAAGCTAACACTGCTGTCAAGCGTCAAAGCTAGACTTTGAATCAAATGAGTCTGAGTTCAAAGGCATGGTTTTCATCACTAGACTATAATGGTGTATGGTCTTTCATACTTTTTTCAATATGCATGTGAACATCTATTTACATAACATATCCACATATAGTTAATCATTATATTTTGCTATGCACTCGCATGATTAGAGTTGACTTTCTATGTATAGGGGGTTAACTCAGAATAGTCAATATGCCAGAGTGGCATATTTTGAGGTGGCGTGTTCTGAACTCCTTCGTATGTTACTTCACATGAATATGTAAAATTGAACTATTATAAATTGTAATTTTTGTAGGTCAAAAACCTGTTAGATATTGATAATTTCACATGGTTCAGTCTAATACTTCTTTCTTTATGTCAGGCATATTGTATTTTATTGTTTATATATACATTTATTTAGATTATCTATCTTCCATGATGCACATTACATAGTTTCAAATATTTTATTATGATAGAAGTGTGCATTAATATGTCTCTTTACAGTTGTTTGAATATAAGATCATTGGGAACACTAGCTTAGGGAGATGGGGGGTGGATTTTAGCCATTTAGTCACCAGTAGTCCACCTTTACCCTCAGTTCTTTGATATGGACAATTGAGAAAAGGACAAAGCTATGCAAAACACTATGCAAATACAGCTTCAGGATTATTTCTTTAGCTTCCACTTCTCAGCATTGTCGTTTTCCATGCTACTATTATGTAGAAATTTTGGAGTTACTAAAGTGTCCATTATATCTGTAGACACAGTATCATTAGAAAAAAAAATCATGTATCTGTTTATTAGTGTTGCATGAAAGCGCTATCTCCCCCACTTCGGATATCATTGATTATTGGTTAAAGTTTAAATGTAGCCAAGTAAAGGCTCTTGTTTTATGTAGGGATCCAAGTTCACTTTTTGTTTTACAAGAAATGAATAGCCAATTTTCACAATTTAATGATCTATCCATTCTGTACTGGAGAGTTTAATTACTTTATAATTGGTTTGGCATAATTTACAAAAAAAATTGCAGAAATTAGAAAAAGGGTAAAAAAATCCCACCAAATTTGAACAATACAACATCTTCCTAGAGTTGTATTTTCTTCTAGACAGGGCTTCAGGTATCTAGCATATTTACATTGACTGTGGTTGTGCATCAACTTAACTTTTCCAAACCAGCATTTTTGGTACAGCATATAGGAAGACATGAGGGTGATTGTAAATCAGGATTGCTTGGCTAGTGGTGCCTGCAAAGATTTGTTGGGGAACTAAGTATTATTTCCTGAACATTTTACACATATTTCAAAATAGGGAGATGTTGCCATTAACCTCAAGATAGCCGTGGTCCCGAGATTCCCCCTCTCAAGGCACCACCACCTTGGCCGCTTGGAATCCAGTAGACACCATCCCCTAGTTCTTCGAGTCTGAAAGGGCGCTGGCGCCCCCGCATTGCGGCAGGATCTCAGCTCTGCGGCAAATGGACGCGCATGCGCGGCCCACGACTGAGGGTCGTGTTGTTGCGCATGCGTGGGCGGAGCTGGTGCGGTTAGTTGACGCTGCCGCTGGGAGTCTGGCGCAGATTCCAGCGGCCGCCGGAGATGCCTGACGCTGTGTTCTGAGGAGCGGCCAGCGTCGCGATGGAGCGGGCCAGGTCAGTCGTGCGGGTGTCTTACCTCAGAGACAGCATGGGGGACAGTCGTTTTTGTTTGTTTGATATTCCAAGTGTGCAGAACCTGGAGTATTGTTGTATATATTGGGAATCTGGGCCCCAAAAGTTCTTTGTTCGGTAGCACTGGATGGGACACCTTCGGAGGCTTGAGGCTTGGCTGTCCCTTCCCGGACAGTGTCCTTCCCACTTCGTGTCGCGTCTTGGCCCATCTGCGCTATCCTGTTCAATCCCAATAGATCTTTTCTGGAGTGGCCCTTTGTCCTTGAGCTGTGAGGCCGTGACCGCAGGTACAGAGGGTACATTGCGTTGGCTGTGGTGCGTAGGACGGGGAAAGGTACGACGGCGAGGGGTCAATGGGGGGTGTGCACAGAGGTGTGGAGGCGATGACAGGGTGGGGCGTCTATGGTTTTGGTGACGATGCTGTCTGCAGGAGTGCCTACTATGGTGGCAAGGAGTGGGGTACGCGTGGGCATCCATGGTGGCGGTGACGGTGTGTGTGGCCGCCATGGCGGTGGTGGGAGGGGTGGAGGATGGGATGTTCACAGCAGCGATAGTAGAGGGGGTGGCCGCGGTGTCCATGCCAGTGGTTTGGGGTCAGAGGGGTGGTCACCATGGCGATGATGCAGAGGAGTGGTGGGACCGCGGTGGCCATGGTGCGAGATGGCAGCGGGATGGCCATGGAGGCGGTGGTAGGGGAGGGGCAGTGGGGTGGTCACCATGGCGGCGATACAGAGGGGGCGGCGGGGTGACCATCGTGGCGTTGATACAGAGGGGGCGGCGGGGTGACGATCGTGGTGTTGATACAGAGGGGGCGGCGGTGGTGTGTGGGAGGGTCTCAGTGGAGTGACTGCCGTAGCAGTGGAGGGGTAGGGGCAAAGGGAAGGGGTCTGAGGTTGCGGCATATGGAGGGGGCGTCATGTGGTCTACGGCCGTTGGTTTGAAGGGAGAACATTCAATATTCTGAGACCTGTGGTGGTCTTAGAGTTTGCGTATTCGGGGGAACCTGCTGCCCCACCACTCAGGTGATGGGATGGCTGCAGAAATGTTCATGTCTTTATATATTTTACTTATTTATAATCCTTGGCTTTTGTGCTTTCGGTGTAAGATGAGGGACATGGTGTGCAGAGCTTGCTTTACGCATCTCGTGAGAGACTTGCCAGGTTCTGGAATGCGACACCACAGGGATTTCTCTCTCGCATTGGTTTTCCCTGCGTTCTGAATATGGTTCTCGAAGGCAGGCGGTTCTCAAATAGGAGCTCGAGCGCACAGAAGTCCTGTGTGGCGTCACGGCCATTGTGCGGTTCCCAAAGATGGCTGCCACTGCAGATGCACTAATGTGCGCGTGCGCCACAGCATGGGGGCGGTCGCCCCCTCTGCCCAGTGCGGCAGTGGGGGATGGGCAGTTGCTGCCTCTTCTGCCAGGCAGGAATTTCAGCTGCACCCTCCCCAGAGCGCAGTGTTGAGGGGAGGAGGCGGGCCTGAGTGGGCGGTTATCCCTCCTCAAAGCGCCGCAGCTTGGAAGCGGGCGGGGTGCTCAAGCGCAGCAGAGATGACGTCACCTCCGCCCCGCAGTGGAGAGGGCAGCAGGAGAGGGAGTTTGCGCATCCTCCTGGCGGGGTTGGCAGCCACCTGCTTCACCTGTCTGCTGCAGTTGCTCTTTCTCTGCTGTGATGTAGTGGGGGGAGGGAGGAAGAAGGGCACAGGTTTGCTCAGCCTCTGCCTTGTGGCGGCCCCCACTGTGTGGGAACACAGTCCCGCAGTGGAGGGGGGAGGGCAATGCTGCCAGGGACTTTACAGGGGGCGATTTGTACCTTCTAAGCCTGCTTGGAATGATGGTCACGCTGCCCCCCTTCTTTTCTGTTGCACTGTAGAGGAGAGTTGTGGGGCCTTGGAGGCCAAGAAGGGCAAGGCTTTCCCAAGATCCATCGTGCTACTTAAGGCAGCCTTCACCACTGGTACAGATTTTAAATGTTTTCTGACTGTTCTTCTAGAAAGGCCTACCTTTTCCTTTTTGCAGATTCTCGCTAAGATGTTTTGTGAACAGTCTAATGGTTCTCCATATTCAAAGTGCATTCGTTAACCCTTAAGACAACTCCCGTTCTTAAAAACTTTGATTTCCACTTTTCAGATTTGATAATTCCGTAAGTGCATCACCTTTGAGAGTTTGTCATATTTCTTAATCTCTGGATATTCCATTTGTGATGCTGTCTTGAGAGATGATTTCCTTAAATCGGGGGAAGAGGGCTCCTGGGAGCTGAGAGCTGTAGACTGTGTTTGCTCAAGGAGAAGAGAGGAGAGAATCAGAAAAGTAGTATGCTACAGGGCTGTGGGTGTCATGCACTTAAGGAATTCTTGCCCTTAGTCGAATTTTTAAAATAATGCTTTTGATCTATCATTTTTGAAGTTGGAGCTCCTATGAAAATTTGGTAAGAAAAGTAATTAACGAAGTAACTATTCCTGTATTCTATATTCCAGTTTTTTTCCCCAACATCTTTAAGGAATTTGTTTTCCTTTGCAGGATTTTGATGTGCTTGCCTTTTTTCTTTATTTTTTTTAGTAGCCCATATAATATTTAATAACACTTCTTAATGTAGTTAAACATACATATTTAAAGTCTCAGATTGAATGAAGTAAAACGTTATTTTAGAAAGAATGCTGCTTCTTACTCTCACATTTCATGAAACACTTAGACTCTTCATGCGCACCTTTAGGATGAATAAGTTATCCATTATTAAAGTCACATTTTGAGTCATCTAACAGTTTTACAAAACACATTCTCCTCACTGCTATTGAAGTCCTTTGAGATGGAGAACTTTTGAATCCATATATGATGGGTCACCGGAAATTGTATTCTAACCTGTAAGTACCCGTTCACCTATCACTTGGACAATCCATCATTTCATTCATCCTGTAATTACAATTATGATAATTATATTGATATAATTTATTATATATTCTCTCCAAAACTTAACTGCTATCTGTACTGCCTTTTTAAGTTGGTTACAGTGACATCAAACATTTGAAATTGTGGGATTATACCCCCAGAAATAATGGCTAAATTACTAGTATCTTTGCTTCCTTTTATTTTAACAGTTTCATCAGTTGATTTCTCTAAGCAACACAAACTAGCAGTGATTGAAATGATTTAAGGATGATTTATCTTCTTTTAAAAAATACTTTGTTGTTTAGGAAAAAGATGTTTGAGAGTGCATGCCATGATATGAGAGATTATAGGCTCAAAGGTAAAGCCATTCCTTTTTTTTCCAAGAGATATTTAGAAGATAGCTCACTTTATTATATCCATGCATATGCGGTATGTTAATTATGAATTTAAAAATTATAATAAAGGCTTTCTTCTGTATTTTCATTCATCATACCCAGTGTGTCTGTGCTGAGTTGGAATGTAATTAAGGAAAACAAACCCCAGAAGCTTGGAAAGCTTTGTTCTGGAATTATTTCTTTTCGAGTAGTTTGAAAAATAGCAGGAGTCTGGAACATTGTGATACTTAGGATTTGCACATTTTTCCTGCTTGTACGAAGATATTGCTTCAGATGAATATTTTGGTTTAACTTCTGATCATTTCGCTCATTGCAAGATGAGTGTGTGTTATCCTTGTGCGCCATTTTGTAGTCTTTCACTCAGGTTCAGGATCTCAATATGGCGGATCCTCCTGGAAAGACCTTTGAAGTTTCAAGGTCTCTGTTCTGCCCAGTAAATATTTGGCTTAGTACCACGGCTTTTTAAAAATAGTGGGGGAGTGTGAGCCCTTCCTGTAATTTAGACCATGGAAGCGTAGTTGAGGGACTGTTGTATTGCTGTCTAAGGCAAGGTGCTATCTGGTTTTGGCTTTATTCAGTTTATTTTGTATTATCTTGGTTTCCCCAGTGTATCTTTCCAATGTTTCATTGCTGAAATATTTTCCCCGTATATGATAATGCTGCATCTTAATTCCTCTCTTTCCTTCTTCCTTTGCTTAATGTGCTTAGATTTGTTTTTAACAGATGTCACATTTAAGATGTAAGGCCTCTAAATTAACCTCTAAACTTTGACACTGCGCCCTGCTACTTAGCTATTTTTAGGAAGAATCCTTGAAGTAAGCAGGGTATGTGTGCTGCCTCCACGTGACAGGACAGTGAGGTTTTTGATCTTCTTTCTTCAGTATACATTAGAACTTTATTGCTGGTCCTGTCTGTCTCTTCCACTTTTTGTGTCCCAGAGCTAGAAAGCTTGAGAAAGAGTTGTTGATGGTTAAGGCATCCTCCTTCACTAATAAAGGTTGGGCATGGAAATTATTTGTCTCCCGGTTCCTGAATTCTGGCTGGCCTAGAATTCTCTTTTGTATTCCACAGGTTTTGTTTTGGAGGCACTGATTTTCTTGTTTGTGGGAAGATCTGCAGACTGGGGTTGCCACATATTATCTTTTTCATTTTTTATTTTTCATTCTTGAGATCTTAGTAGTTGAATTTTTAAGGTTTTTTGGTGAAGGTGTAAGGCATATTAAATATTTGATAGACTGTTAGGCAATTAGGGAAAACATTGTGTGATCTCATCACTTTTTGCCTTTCAGTGTATTTCCAAATTAGTACTATTTTTTAATAAAAGTGATTTTGGAGCAAAAAATTAACCTGTACGTATACCGACGTTTTTTTCCCTTAAATGCTTAATTTTCTGAAATATTGGTTTCTGGTTTGGGAAAGCAATTAGGAAGATTATAAATGCATGTGTGTGTTATGTAGAACAAACTTCAGTATTTTCGAAATAAAGCTGCTCATAAATGATTTCGCATGTAGCTTTAAAAAAGATTTAGGAAATTGAATAGCCTTGCACGCTGGTTCTTTTTTCAGTTGAACTCAGACCTTTTCGTACTGAGCAACTGCTATGAAGGGGTAAAGGAACTGAAGATTTTTTTTTTTGTAATGAGGGGTTCTCAATTGCGCTATTAATCATAATCAGTGGGCTATGACATGGAGGCCCATGATAGTTCCTTTTATTGTATTAATAAAATGTTTTATTAATATATTTGTGAAATCACCATGTGGTTTCATGAATCATTACTTCATTCCTTTTTATGACTGAATGACATTCCATTGTATGGATATACCATACCATATTGTATTTTATCATTCATCAGTTGTACTTTGGGTTGTTCCCACTTTTTGCTTACTACGATTAATGCCGCTAGGTACATTCACGCTCAAGTTTATGTGTTTTTATTTCACTCCATAAGGAGTGGAATCACTACATCAGATGATAACTACATGGTTTAACATTTTTAGGAAATGTTGGAGGCTGTAGCATTTCATATTCCCACTAGCAGTGTATCCACATCCTCCTGTAGTCCTGTGGTATGAGCTGGTATGTGTTTGTGGTTTTGATTTGCATTTCCCTAAAGACTGTAATGATATTGATCATCTTTTCTTGTGCTGATGGAAATTTGTATGTCTTTGGAAAGCAGCCTGTTCAAATCCTTTACTCATTTTTACATTGAATTTTGTCATTTTATTATTAAGTTGTAAGAGTTCTTTACATATTCTGGATACTAGACTTTCATCAGCTATGTGATTTGCAAATATTCTATTCTATTTTGTTGTTTTTTTCACTTTAATATAGTGTCCTTTGAAGCAAAGACTTTTTTTTACTTTTGATGAAATAGAATTTATGGATTGATCTCTCTTGAGGTACTTCAGGTGTCACTTCTAAGAAACTGTCACTAATCAAAGGTCAAGGAGATTAGCAAAGTATACACTTTCATCATTTAAAAATCTGATATGTACATAATGATTTTTTAAATGATCTTTTCTATTGCTTGATTAGAACATTAAAGTTTTGAAAGCAATAAAAACAGCTTGGGGTTGTTGGTAATCTATTTGGGTTACTTTGCATAATCTAACATGAATTTTAAAATAGCTAGGGTTCAGAGAATTAGCTTTTGGGATATGCCTTTTGAATTCTGACTTTGAAATAGTACGTTGCATGACTTTTGTAAAATGTTTTTCCTTCTGTCCTTTTCTGATTTAGCATTTTTTAATTTCAGTTTTATGAGTAGTTCCTGTAGTTTCTAACATGGGTGACCCAAGTTGGAGATTTCATGCTCATATCCCTTGAGCAGCCATTTTGTGAGCTGCTTTGCAGATCATAATATGGCAGAAGCTATGTTTTTATTTTTAATTTTTTTGTTTAAGCATCACTTTTGTTTCCTGTTTTGAAAATCCTAAGCAAGCAGCATTTGTGCAGGAGGTTGCTTAAGTAGACATTTTGTAATTTAAAGTTAATACTTTATTCTACCATACAAAAGGATCTATCTATTCTAAATATATTTTTCAAACCATTTTTGGAATCAACATTGCTATTTTTGGGGGTATGTAGTTACGGGTAGTATGTTTGTGTATATAAATCTCTCTGTAAGTCTATAGTTTTATACCTGTATATGTGAAAGTAAGTAGAAATTAAATATATTATTTATTTTTGATTAATTGTCTGATCTTTTTCTCCAGGTTTTGTTCTTTTTTTTTTTTTTTTTTTTTTGCTGAGGAAAATTTGCCCTGAACTAACATCTGTGCCAATCTTCCTCTGTTTTGTATGTGGATTGCTGCCACAGCGAGGCTGCCTACGAGTGGTGTAGGTCCTTGCTTAGAACCGAACCTGGGCCATGTGAACTTAATCACTAGGTCATGGGGCTGGCCCACTTCCCAGGTTTTCTGATGTTAAGGGACGTCTAAAGGTAGAAAGTAGTTTTAGGATAGATCCTGACTATTGGAGGAGAAAGACCTAATATTTTAATTTTACCTTTTTTCCCCCTAGTTTTACTGAGATATAATTAACATACATTACTGTATCTTGTTGTAATTAGATTATGAGCACTTTAAAGACTCCAATCATGTTAAAAATAGCTCTTGAAATAACCTTTAAATAAATGGCTACTTCATGAATTGATTAAGTCTGTCAAACAAATCCCTCTTTTTGCTTCAGGGACCGCTTACACCTGAGACGGACTACGGAACAGCACGTACCAGAGGTGGAAGTGCAAGTCAAACGTAGAAGGACAGCCTCACTGAGCAACCAAGAGTGAGTACAGTCTGGGTTGAAAATCAGTTTAACTCAGTCCTTTTTCAAATTGGAACAAAGTATCATCCAATGAGAGGATTGAAATAAATTTAATTAATGACAGATGCATATGAATGTGATACAGAAGATGTAGCAAAAAAGCAATGAAATCATCCCTAACCATGTAGTCCTAACGTAACTGAACTTCTGTTAAAATTTTAGTGAACTGTATTTCCTTTTTTGCCATACATGTGTTAGGTGTGTTTTATCTTTAGAAAATTCTACATCCTTCAACATATTTATATTTAAAATTGTTTCTGGTTTATTTTTTATGTTGTTACTAAATCACTTTTTCTATGCTTGCAAAATGTTCCGTGCCCTAAAGGGATGTTAATTTATGCATTCATGGTTGCTCTGCAATATTTAGATTTTTTTTGGTTAGTGCATTTATCCAGTTAAATTGAAATACATACATTTTTCCCTCTCCTTATTTAGGATATATACACATGCACACAAAAACTTTTTAAATTTAGGTTTCCAGAAGGGCTATTTTAATTAAAAATACATGAACATTTTTAATGACCTGATAAATATTTGAGTATACGTTGAATCTTTTGCATTTTGTCATTACCACAAATCTTGACAATATCAGTGGGTAGCATTTTTTTTTCTTTCCTAAAGCTGTCTTATTAGGTTATTTTTTCAAGATTACAAGTATTAATAATACATGAATATAGTTTTTTTGTAAAACACATAATTTTGAGATAAAAAGTGGGTATTTTCAAGTCACACCAGTCCACGCCCCTTCCTTCCCCAGAGATAGTCCTCAGGTGCTTTGGTCTCTATCATTTTAGACCTTTTCCTCTGCATTCATATGTGTGTACACACACTATGTGGGTGGGGAGGGCAGAGGCATATTTGTGATTTGTTTATATACTTGAGGTTTTTTGTTCTGTAACAATATGCCTTGGGGATGTTTCCATGTCAGTGCATATGAGTCTACCTTATTTATTTTACAAGTTGTGGAGTTTGGATGGTGGAATAACAATTTATCATTAGCTTACTAATGGATATTCAGGTTGTTTGCATTTTTTAGCTATTATAAACAATATAAGAGCATTCAATCTGAAAGTTAATATTATTTATTAATATCATTTGAATTTTATTTCTCAAATCTAAAGCTTTTAAAAAATTGTAAAAAGGGGGTAGCATTTTGTCTTATTTTTGTTATTTGCTCATTTTATATGTGAAAATTTGAAATATATGTTTGTACATGTTAAATTGCTGGTGAGCCTAAGGATTGTCCCATTTTTCTCTGTTTATTTTGTTTACTCTTGAGTTTATTATTATTTTCTTTATTACATTTTCATTTTGGAAATTATTTTGAAAAGGAGTATTTTATGAATGAACATTTTATATAATTTGTCCTTTATAATAGGCTATTTGCCTATTAATTTTCCTTTATATGGTAATGTCTTTTTTCTCTTCAGTCTTTTGTAACTCCAGAAATTTAAAAAGTGCCCTTTTTTTCCCCAGAATCTCTAGAAGTATCTTGAGATACTTTATAGATTTTCGTTGAGGTATGGGTAGGGGGTTCATATCTTAGGGGAGGATCTTTTGTTAGTGAGTGAGGGTTCTGTCGTATTTGTTGTATTTTGTTAGAGCCTTTATCCTCTGCAGCATCAATGTGGACCAGTATGATAGGTGATCTCATCCTGTTTAAGCCTTATTTAGGGGTCATCTATTCGTCCATGTCTGTGGAAACATTTCGTTGCTTTCAAAGAAGAAATAACTTCATTTTTCTGACTTCTGCTGTATATGTGATATATAAATACTACAGGGTGCTAAATTGGGGGAAGGATCTGAGAGGAGTTTTGAGTTAGGGAAATTGTGTAATTTCCCTAGTCACCTCTGTACTTTCAGAGTCAGTGGATTATAGGAATGGGTAAGCACTATTGATAGTCTCTAAGCCCGGCCTTAAGGATACATATGCTCAGAATTCTCTCAGGATTGGGACATTTAATAGTTAAAATCTCAGTGCTCATTTCAATTATAATCCATCAATCTCGCACCTTTTCCCAAACCATAACTACTGGGAGTCAGTATTCCTAATGAACTGTGTGGGTACCCATTCTAAAGACCAGTAAAGGATTGCTATTGTTATCCATCCAAAAAATACAGAACTGAGTAAAAACCAAAACAAGATGCAGACAAAACATCCCACAAATCCTACAATAAGTGTTAATAGAAGTTCATTGATTTATACTCTTGGAATTGATGGTTATTCTGTTTTCCAGTAGATCATCAAATCAGCTCTTGTTCTTGGGGACTGAAGAATGTCTTCCTTGTTTCGTTTTTGTTTTTTTTAAAGAATCTTACCTTACACAAAGGTAACTGTCTTCCTTTTTTTTTTTTTTTTAATAATTTTTATTTATTTTTTCCCCCAAAGCCCCAGTAGATAGTTGTATGTCGTAGCTGCACATCCTTCTAGTTGCTGTATATGGGACGCGGCCTCAGCACGGGCGGAGAAGCGGTGCGTCGGTGCGTGCCTGGGATCCGAACCTGGGCCGCCAGCAACGGAGCGCGCGCACTTAACTGCTAAGCCACGGGGCTGGCCCCCTTGTTTTGTGATGTATTTGAGTTTGAGAGAAATTGGAGATTGGGGCTGGAGAGTCCTCTGAAACTATTTCATGCACTTCTTCAACTGTCTTTCTAAGTTTATATTCTGCATCTTGTGAAGTAAATGCTGTGTGTACTGCATCTTATTTTCTCAGTCTTACCTTAGTCTTGGGTTGGGTTTCAGGTTAAACCCAAGAGGAACACTGCAATAGGAGTTTTCAGAAGAAGAAGCAAAAAACTCTTTTTTTTGGCTGAAACTTTTTTAGAACCTTGTTATGTCAGACACTTAGTTGCCATTTGGTAACAGGATTGGAACTGAGAATGCCCAAATAAAGATTTAATTGTTCAGTGATTGGAATGGGAAAATTTTAAAGGCATGAGCAATGCAATTCTGACCCTTACTACTTGGAGTTAGTGAGGCACAGTCCTTCTGTAAGATCACCCTCAATTTAGATACCAACTGCAAGTCCAGGTTCCTAGGCCACCCGCACATCTGAACAGATTCTGGGTTTTCAACTCTCAGATTCCATAATTTGTTAGAGTGACTCACAGAACTCGAGAAAGCACTATACTTATTATTGATTTTATTATAGAGGATACAAATAGGGATAAGCCAAATGAAGAGACTCATAGGACAAGATCTGAAGCTTCCATGTCATCAGGCTGTGATAATCTCTCAACATATCAATGTATATCATCAATCAAGAAGCTCACAGAGCTTTGAGTGTCTAGAGTTTTTATTAGTGTTTCATTACTTAGACATGATTAATTGAATCATTGACTACATGATTGAACTTGGTCTCAACTCAGTTTCCAGCTCCCATCCCTTCCCAGGAAGTCAGGCTCAAAGCCCCAGCCCTCTGTTCACGAGGTTGGACTTTGTGCCTTGGCCAGCCGCAATCTCGAATCATCTTGTTAGCGTTAACTCAGGTGTGATCCAAGGGGCCTACCATGAATAACAAAAGACGCTCCCATCACTTGATAAATTCAGGGATTCTAGAGGTAATCTTCCAGGAGCTGTGGACAAAGTCCAGCCCAAATCTTTACAATGATAAAAATATGATTTAAAAACTACAGAATATAGGGGAAAAGTAACTTTCATCGCAGTCCTATTTCCAAATCCGACTGCTGTTGAATATTTTCATACACACACACACACACACACACACACACACACACACACACTTATGTTTACATGTATATATATACACACATACACACACACACTTATCAACAAGGGCAGAATTCATTGCTGGTGATTTATTTTCTCATGCTTGTCTTGTTAGCCAGCAACCTGTGTAACTTCCTATAACTCTTCCTTATCCTCATGATTAGTCTCACAGCCAGATTACTGATCTATTCCGATATGTTGAGGGCTTTTCTCCAGAATTCCCTGCTAACTGATGGTGGTTGGTATATGGGAGGTTTGAGAGCCTAAACAGCCTGGGCCCTGGACTTTTTTTGTTTCAGGTAGTGACTTCTCAGGAGGGTCAGAATGGATGACAGCCTTACTGTCTCATTGGAAATGCCTCAGCAAATGCACCACCCTGTTGCTAGGGGTTAGAGAATTGTTTTGAGATAGAATAATGGAAACGTGAATAATGGATATAGTATTGACGGTATTTCCACAGGACTTTTTAAACCAAAAGAGCTCTTATTTTTTAGTTCCTGTGGTAGTATCCCCAAAGTGGGTAGGTTTCCCTCAGTTCCTTGTACATCCCTGTATGCAGAGAGAGAGTGCTGTTTCCTGTTTTATGGGTTCTTCATAAGTATTGGCATGCTCTGACCTAAATGAGAGTCTCTTTAAACGTAAGGGTCTCTACATTTTCTTCCATATAGTTATCTATATATGCAAAAGTATTTTCATTTATATATATTGTGCTCTTGTCATAGGTGTCAGCTGTACCCGAGGCGATCTCAGCAACAGCAAATACCTGTGGTGGATTTCCAGGCAGAACTGAGACAGGCATTCTTAGCTGAGACACCAAGAGGTGGTTAAAGCAGTATCGGAACATCCAGGTAGCTGGTTGGAAGCGAAAAACCAGGTTAGAGCTGATGTAGTCATGATCAGTAATAAAGAAATAATTAAAGAATAAGGTGTTTGGAGGTCACTTCATTATATGGGATTTTTAAAAGCATTTTTTTTTCCCTTAAAAACTTCATACAACAAACACTGCAGAAAGTTTAACAAAGGAAAAGCAGGAAGTTAATGCTCTTTCTCTTACACTTTTATCATGTTTCTGTATTACTTTCAAGTCATTGTGCATGCTTTTTAGATACTTTTGTTCATATTTAATTTGTATTGATTTTCAACTTTATATGAAAAGTATTTCATTGCAAATGGCTGCTGAATATCCTGCTAATGAATGTTTTATAATTCCCTTTTGTGGGACTTCATTTTTTTTCTGCTGGTAGTTTGAATAAAGCTTCAGTGAATTGCTTTGCATAAAATATTAGATAGGATCCTTCCTCAGATATGCTGATGTGAAAAGAAATTGAATCAAGGAATATGAACTTAAGGTACATTTTCTAAGTTGTATTACAAAGTATTATGTTAGTCTTTATTGCCTTGAAAAAATAGTGCCAGTTACAATACACTTTGACCTGCATTGATTATTTTAATTACATATCATTTGTCCTTATAGAACTATAAATCCACATCACATTCATTAGCAAATGAGAAGCTTAATTTCCCCATGCTTATTTACTAATTATTCCTTTTTTTCGTCTTTTTCTTACTTGTTTGTTTTCACCAATGTATTTGAATCAGCTGACAATTTAATAAAGCTATTATCTGTGATTTTTCAATGTGATGTAGATTTATTTACAGTCTGTCTTTTTATGTTGGTTTCTACATTTTTAGGAAAAAGCTATTCAGAAGTTGATTTTGATTTAGTACTTTGGTTTTTCTTTGTGATTTCCTTTTAATTTTAAGATTTGAATGACCTCAATCCAAAGGGTTTAATATATACTTTTTAGAAACTAAGAGAGGAAGGGGATTTACAGATGAATTTTCTCCTAGATTTTCTTTATTTTTGTTTTGAAATATTACCCCTCAACTCCAATTAATTAGGCCTGTTTCTGGCTACCATTTTGATGTTCAAAACAAACTAGAAAAAAACAGAAATTTTCTGAGAAAAGCCCTCCCCTGCTGAATCGTTTACCCAGCGTTCTCCAGTAACTGCCTGAACTTGATTAGAAGACAGTGGAATTGATTTTAGACAATGGAATCTGATCATTTTCCTGGCTGTTCCCCAGAGTAAGGACATTTTTAAATGAGCAAGTATACAAAATTGATTTTTTTTAACCAGAAATTTTTTGGCTCCTGAATGCAGTTCACATACTCTAGTAAGTTCCTAAGTTTATTATTTAAAATGTACATTATGATCTGTAAGTAGGACCATCTCATTTTCTGATATTATGTTTTATTCTAGTCTCCAGTGCTAGTTTTATCTAAATAGTATTAGTTACTAGGAATATTTTAGAATAGGGCTTGGTAAAGTATCTGACCCACTCACTGTCTGCTTTTGTGAATAAAATTTTATTGGCACATAGCCATGTCCATTTATTTACGTATGGTCTATGGCTATACTGGCTCTACGATGACAGATTGGAGTAGTTGTGACAGATTGAATGGCAGGCAAAGCCTAAAATATTTATTATCTTTCCCATTAAAAGAAAAAGTTGGCTGACCCCTGTCTTAGAGAACCATTTTTCTTTTAATGTTTTTATTTTTTGTGAGGAAGATTAGCCCTGAGCTAACATCCGATGCCAATCCTCCTCTTTTTGCTGAGGAAGATTGGCCCTGGGCTAACATCCATGCCCATCCTCCTCTACTATATATGGGATGCCACCACAGCATGGCTTGACAAGTGTTGCATCAGTCCGCGCCTAGGATCCGAACCTGAGATCCGAAGCGGAGTGTGCACACTTAACCACTATGCCACCAGGCCAGCCCCTAGAGAACCATTTTTAAAGATGAAAACACCTGAGAACCCTGGTCCGCCGAAGTGGAGTGTGCACACTTAACCGCTATGCCACCAGGCCAGCCCCTAGAGAACCATTTTTAAAGATGAAAACACCAAGATAGAGCCAGTAGGGGAGTGGTGATACTATAGAAGGTGGTGAAGAGAAAGGGGCTGTAGAAGGAGTGTATATGAAGTAAGCATTACCGGGTAGAGAACCAGATGAATTTCTAGGTTAAGGGTCAGGTCTAAGAATCATGTTAAAGTCAGCTGTACATGTACCTAAGTAGTTTTTGAAGACATTTTAACAATTGATACGTTTCCTGTTTCATTATAAAAGTAAAAATCTGAAGCATGTGAGGGATAGCCAAGAAAAGTGGAAAGGTATGCCAGAGACTTTGTATACCCGTGTTTCAACCACCACATGAGGTTGATTTTTTTTTTTTCATTTTGCCCATTTGCTTTTCTTTTGAAAATGTGGTTAGTTGGAATTATGCTTTTAAACTAATTATTTTCTATTTAGTCCACTTAAATGTATATCATTAATGTTTCTTCATTTTATTAAACAGTCCTCATAATTATCATTTGTAATGAATAAAAGATAGTCCATTCATGATTTAATTTCTCTTGTACTTGTGTTTTTTTTCTAGTTTGCTATGCTATTATGAATATTAGTGCTATGTTTTTTAAGATATATTTGGTACCTTAAATTTATTAGGATAAGGATCCAGTTGTGGGCTACAGGGTATAAATATTAGTATATCTCTTAAATGTTTTGTTACATTACTTTCTAACAGCATTATATAAGCAGTGTTGATTGCCATCAAGAATAATTACCAGAGTGCTAGTTTCTCAGTACCACCTCTGGTATCTTTTTTTTTTTTTTTTAAGGACGATTGGCCTGAGCTAACATCTGTTGCCAATCTTCCTCTTTTTCTTCCCAAAGCCCCAGTGCATAGTTGTATATCCTAGTTGTAGGTCCTTCTAGTTCTTCTAGTTCTTCTATGTGGGACACTGCCTCAGCATGGCTTGATGAGCAGTGAGTGGGTCCCTGCCCAGGATCCGAACCTGTGAACCCTGGTCCACTGAAGTGAAACGTGTGATCTTAACCAGTATGCCACTGGGCAGGCCCCCTATCTTTTTTTTTTTTTTTTTAAATAAATAAACAGTTCCAAAAAAGGAAAATTGTCTTCTTGTAGTTCTAACTAGCAGTACTTTGTCAGTGAATATTTTCCATTTAGTTATGTTTTCTCCTGTTACTCGTTAAACTTGTTGCACATTTTTCTGTGAAGGGTTTGTTATTTACCAGATTTGAGTGAGCACCAATGCCTTATCATTATTCTATGATTTCTCATTTGTTCTATGTGCCTTGGCCAAGTCTGACCATCTTATCTTTTGACTCAAAGAAGCTTTATATTCTTAGACAGTTTAATCATTTGAAAGTCCACACTTAGCAAAAGTTTGAAAACTTTTTGTGTGAGGGATCCCAGGATGTTTGAGTCAGGGACTCAGGACCATTTATTTGTTTATGTGCCCTTTGACCTAAGGAGATTTACCATAACTTCTGATTCATCAATGCAGTGTGATGTTGCTGCTCCTCTTGTCCTCCCTCTTGAGGCATTTTGTTCTCCTTTGCTGTGGAGATAAATTTGATCATTCTACAAAGTGATAGATCTCCTTTTCTTTACAAGGGTTCATGATTATGGTGTACTAAATTTAGGGTCAGGAGATAACTGTTGCTAAAATTCAAGTCCATCTCATTAAGGCAAGGAAATCTTGTTTGAATTTGTTGATTTCTTACAGCTAATTTATATGAACCAGGGTTCATAGGTATGTGTTCACTGAAATACCAGGTGGGATAGAACATTTGAAACTGCATCTGGGTGGGGAAATCTGTACTCTAAATCTTTTTTGGCACCTGAAGATAAAAGTTTTGTCTCTGAATTTAAAATTTTTGCTGGAGAGGTGACTTACTACAAATACGTACTTTAAAAGCACATTTGATGCTGGTCCCATTATAGTAATCCTTATACAGGAAATTTTTGTGATTATATTTTTTTCTTTGAATGAAATCTTGAAAAGCTGCATCCAGCCCTACTGTTTTTTTTTTTTTTAATTTTTATTTATTTATTTATTTTTTACCCCCAAAGCCCCAGTAGATAGTTGTATGTCATAGCTGCACATATTTCTAGTTGCTGCATGTGGGACG